TTACATGTGCCCATATCACTCCATCTCTGACTTCATTGGTTAAACACTCTTCCTCCATTCTATCTGCGATAAAAAAACTCTCTGGATCACTCACTTATAAAGGCATTTATGATTACCTTTGGACACACTTTATCAATCTTGGATAATATTGACACCTAGATATGCTTAGTTTGTGTCCCCAAAGTACCTTAGCCTATATTTATAGAATCCCTGGAGATGAACCTGATATTATGCCTCCTTCTCTCCTGTGCATTGAAGTCAATATCTATATCTATCTATATATCTATCATCTGGCTATACATCTGTCTATGAATAACCCCATGTACCTCAGCATACAAAATAATCACTTCACTTTGCCTACCATACCAATTATCATCAGTGTGATTGATCATGATCATCATTGTGATGGAGTGGCTCACATAGGAGGGCTCTGGTAGGGGTTTCCTTTCAGGGCTGCTCTGTCACCATTGTCTTGCAGGAGGAATGATGTGACTAAAGATGGTTCTTAATCATCTGTGTTGAAACCCTTTCTGCAGAGAACAGCCTTATTCTATTAGTGTCTGGACACCCTCTTGCCCCTTTGCCTCTCAACCCTCAAGGAGGTCACAGGTGGGACTGACTCAGACACAACTAAATTCTGCCCCTGATAAAAATCCTTCTTATTCTCTTAGGGCACTGCAACTGCTGAGGGCTAAATGAGATGAATGAATTGTTTAAATTACAATCATTTTTATTTTATCTTTCTTTGGTTCAGGAGAAAGTTGCAAATGCTTTGAATATTTCTGTATGATCATCAGTTTTCAGAGCATGTAGTAGCTTAGGTAATAGCAGAAATTTCTCAATTATGATTACAGTCATTTCAGTTAAAAGTAGCATCATTTTAATGGGAGCTTTACTAAACTTAGAATGATGGGTGCACTACTAAAATACAGAGTTGCATCAGTATAGGTCAGAATCCCTTTCTATTGATTTTCCATAGATTTACCCAAATGAGAGAACTTCCAAGAGATTTAGAAGTCATATACTTGGAGATAGATGACGATACAAAACTCATCATCTTGAGAGGTAAGTCAGCTGAGAGCATCAGGAACCAAATCTTGGAGTTCAAAAACATATCTGAGGATCACAAGGTAAGAGGTAGCCTCTAATAAGTGAAAGCAGAGGTGCACTATGGGAGCTCCAAAGAGCTGTGAGTTATACTGCTAACTTTCCTAAAAACACAGTTAATGAAAGAAGATAAGACTATAATTAACTGCACTAAGAAACTTTTTTTTAATATTTTTTTATTTTTATGTATATGTGTGTACTGTCTAATGTAGGTAAGTGCACCTGTGTCATGAAATGCCATGGAGGTCAGAAGAGGCTGTCAGAAATCCTAGAACTGGAGTTATGGACAGTTTTTAACTGCCATGTGGGTGCTGGGATTCGAACCTGGGTCTTCTCCATGGACAGCCAATGTTCTTAACTGCTGAGCCATCTCTCAAGCCCCCACTAAGACACTTTTAAACATTCCTAAACTTAATGATTATATGGACTACTTTTTTGGTGAATGGGAATGAGTACCATTTATATCAAAACTAGTTATCTCATATGTCAAGATTTGAATCCTTTATTAATTCAGGAGAGGCATTGTCTTGTCTGTGTTTCTGAGACTGAAGAGGAGGAGAGAGATTTGAGATGCAGAACAGCCTAACTGACGCTTTCCTTCCAAAACCTCCCAGAAACATTACAAAACTGGCTTCACCTGGAAATGCTGTGGTTGCATAAACCAACTGGAGCAGCTAGGCTGCAGAACCTTGAACTTGAGCTTCCTATGAGGTTTTTGTTATGACTTGAATCACTGTGGCAGGGGTATTAATGTACTGTTGACAGTAATAAGTGGCAATGTCTTCAGACTCCAGCCTGCTGATGGTGAGAGTAAAATCTGTACCAGATCCACTGCCACTGAACCTTGATGGGATCCCAGTTTGCAGTATGGATGTGAGGTAGATCAGGAGTTTAGGAGCTTCCCCTGGTTTCTGCTGATACCAAGCTAACCCATGAGCAATGTTCTGACTGGCCTTGCATGTGATGCTGACTCTGTCACCCAGAGATGCAGACAGAAGGGTTGGAGACTGAGTCATTAGGATGTCACATCTCACACCTGACCAGAGAATTATACAACAAATTTACACTGAATGATACTGAACAGGATGACTCTCTTAAAATGTCCTACAACACTAGCCAAACTGGGAAACAAAAGTCCCCACTGCTTTCCTTCCCTACCCAAAAACCAGAGCAGCAGAAGCCCCAAGATCTGAGAGCTGTCCCTCATGTCCATGCTGTGTCCTGACAGGAACTAATGCTCAGTATGTACACAGACTATTATAAGTCCTCAGGACAGTGGGGTGTGTCCATATCACACATGCAAATTAGCAGGAAATGAGTTTTTGACACACCTGAGGGATTTGGTTGATCTCACCTCTAAGATTAAGCACAGGCCAAGTGTTCCCCAGGTGTCCAAGACAGGCAAGAGTAGCACAGGTTTGTCTGCAGAGAATATGCCCTTATCCATGGGAGAAAGTACAACTTCAGTATCTGATCCTACAAGGAATCAGGTATTTTTAATACTTCCTATTCCTTTACGTCCTTTTCTGCCTCATTCCCAGCAAGGATAGTGGAATGTCCTCTGAAACAATCCCAGAAATTGGAGAAAACCTTATTCCCTTCTTTCTTTGGTGCATGTGGATATGACTAGCAAATAGTAAATTGCTGTTTCCTCTGGTACCATTCTACTCTTTTGGTGAACTTAAAAAGTTGTAAAGAAAAGAAGACATAAGTTTTGTGTAAGGGGTGGGCCTGCTAACTCAAGCCAATTCAAATTTGTTCCTGCATATATTAATGCTTTTCCCAATACACACCACAAAAGTTGACCAAACATCTGAGTTCTCATCAGGAAAAAATCAAATCCATTCCTGGTGTTCTTGAAAAGTCTCAGATTCCTGGTCCTGTGCTCTTTCCTCACTTAACATAAACCACCCTCCTCAGAAATAAAAGTTCTAACATCGTCCATTTAACACTAATTAAATTTTATTGATTTTTTTCAAATTCATATATTTTGGTCATATTTAGATCCTCTCCCTTATGGAAGCTCTACATGTGCTTGCTGCAGCCAAAATGGGGTCAGTAAGGTATTCCCCAATGAGTGTCATGATATTGACTGTGCAAAGAAGACGTCCAGGGAGGATGGCATTTGGACATGATTTACATGAGAAAAGTCCCCTGAAATGAGCATCCCAAGGACTAGCTGTCAACAGAGCATGGCAGAAGTGTGGGATAGAAAGACCAGCTCCTTCCCCAGACCTGTAATAACACTCAGGTGTTTTTGGTTCGTTGCAGACTGTAGCTCACATGCTAACAGGCCATTTTCTCCATCTTCATTTCCTCTCTCACCTTGCTTCTTCCCTCACTGGATTTTTTTAATGTCTTCAATATGCTGATTGCATTTGAAGCCTTGTGTCTAGGGTATTCAGTCTAAGATAATATATAAATATCTATTTTTATGAGACATCCCTCTCTGAATTATTACTTCTTATATAATGATATATAAAAGCACAGCATTTGAAAGATTGAATAGATATGCTATGAATGGAGCTCTATGTGTATCATACAATCCCACATAATGTTTTAAAATCTATGACTCATTTTTTTTTAACGAACTGAACATTTAATTCAGCCCAACACTACATAAGCCAGGTGTGGTGGCACATGCTTAAAATCTTGGCACTTAGGAGGTTAATAGAGGAACTTCACGATTTCTAGGCCATCCTTACAAACCAGCATGAATCCAATGAGACCACATCTGAAAAACAAGAATAAAAAAAGAGAAGAAAGGGAAGGGAAAAATTTAAAAAAATGGAAAACTGCTTTATTTTTCTTAACCAGTTGTTCTTATTTAAGAGAGATTACTTAAGCAGTAATTCCATTTCATAAGTAACAAAATCAATATGCCCCCTGCAAGTGAATGTTAAATTCATAGGAAAATATTCCCAAGTACTTAAATCTCACAGATCGAAAAAAACCATGAATATTGAATTCTTCTACCAGTCTTGTTTCATATATCTGCCTCATGAATTTTTATTCTTCTCTAGAGGAGTGTTAAGTCACATTTCCACCATTGTGATCCAATATCTGAGGGAAAAATATGTAAGAAGGAAAGAGTCCTTTCAATTCAGTTTTGAAAGATTTAACCCTTGGTCGATTGTTCATTTAGGACTATGTTTCTACACTGATGTCATGCAGAAATGAAATGATTTGAAGAATGGTGGAGATGGTGGATGAAAGATGCCCAGTTCATGGGAATGATAGAGATAGAGATCACACACACACACACACACACACACACACACACACACACACACGCACACAGAAAGAGAGAGAGAGAGAATTAAAAGACACATCCTAGTGACTTCACATACTAATATAATCAAACTGTGAATATATCCATGCATTAATCATTTTATTAGTGAAGAAGCCACTTGATCTAATTGCTTGTCAATGAATTACCTACAGTAGATC